ACACTATACTCGAAACTTATGAAGTATGAGAAGTAAAAGAGGGTATATATCTCTTCAGATTTATTTATTCATTCCATTGATCGATAAGAGTTAGATGGTAAAAAGAAAGTAAAATGGTATAATGCTAACGATTGAAACAAGTACAAAGGGTTAGGGCAAATATATGGATAGGTGCACGGCAAGATAGAGAGAGAACCAGTGGTTCTTGTTAGTATTAAGTGTTCGATTTAAGAAAGATGCGACGTATTTTTTGAGGGTTTGTAAAGTAACTGTATTTTTTTCAACCCTATTTGATAATTATGTATACCGACCGGTGTGTAATATGTTTCTGAAAGAGTCCTCTTCTCCCTGTTCTTTTAATTTCTGGTTCGGTTTGCTATATAACTATCTTGCAACTGTATAGGGGATTTGGAAAGGGGATGGATATAATACAGTATTAATGTGTGGTTAGGTTAGTAGCTTATATTATAAGTATATGGCAGTAGTTGTGGTGATTAAAGTGTGCGTCTCAAAACGATTTCATTATATGTTTTTTATTTATTGCATTAGATAAAACTTGAACAAGGGGAGATATACTTTTTACACTAATAGTAATTTGGAAAGCATTCATTAATACTTTGGGCTTTAAAACTATTAGTGGGAGTCTATTGATCAAAATAAGGAGGGAAGAAATGGTGTTACTGCATTTAAAAAATATCACAAATATTCAAGGGGGGGGTTAAAAACTTGGGGAGATGTTGGAGGGAGAAGGGATGAAGTAGTCGTTCTATAATTGCGTCGTTAAGCATTAGTTATAATCCAGATATTTGTATCAAGACGAGAATTATAACAATAATAATAATAATAATAATAATAATAATAATATATATGTGAATTTCAAATTTCAATTCTAATATGATTTGATATACTGTCGAGTTCTATATTATCATGTCGTAGTCTTCTGTGTGTCTGTGTTATTCTTGTATGATATATAATCCGTTGTACTGTTTGCTCTAGCCTACTACTCAAAGCCCTATGTATGTCAATGGAAGCCCTGTTCTTATCAAGATCAACGATTCGAATATCACCGACGGAGAAATTCACGGAAATGAATTAATCTATTAAATCCAAACTAATAAATTAAAAAAAATCAGTAACAAGTGAAAATTTGAAGAGTTTCTAGAATGACTTCTTGTCTCGCCTTACTTTGTTACGACATTTTCACAAAATGGAAATTCGGACAAATTCAACTTGAAAATATGACTTGGTTGATTTGAGACGATGAGAAACGACAAAAATTATTATCACCGAACCGACAAACGCATTCAAATAGATTGCTTTAAATTTTTTTTTCCCTACTTCCGGGTGATGCGGACCGAAAATAAAAGGAAAAAAAAGCTAAGTAAAAAATCTACAACTTTAGAGTGACTGTTTTCCATCCGTGCATTTTTATCAACGCTAAAAAAAAAATGCAAATGGAATCTGAAAAAAACATAAAAATTCAAATGTTAATGGCTTTTTTTTCTCGCATCCATCCATTTCATCAAACGATTACAAGTTCTTATCGCTTCAAACAGCCTTATTCCTACTTATCTTTCTCTCATGTTGTTGGCAAAAGTAAACACCTTTACAACTAAATGTCTTTCTGTATCGTAAATACTCGTTAGCACCAACTGGACAGAACATCCAACGACCGTTGCTAAACATTACGCACACCATCTCTGTTCTCATCGAGCCTAATATCGACTCTCTTTCTGGATGGTTCCGTTCCAGACAGACTAAACCTACCATTAACATATCACTTGGCCAGAGAGGAACTCTCGCTATTTTACCAACAAGTCCACGCACTAACTAGGCAGTGTTCCTTCTACGACGCGATGGGTCTCTGTGTAATGCGTTTGAAAAATTTCACCAACTTAGACTGACAACTCCAAAAGTAACCTGTCAATCTTCTAGTCTAACCTCACTCAAGCATATGGTCTGTTAGTGAACTCATTGTATTGATATGCTGTTCTGTTCAATTGATGGTGGTATTCGAAATAACTCAAACAAGCACAATTTACCAATCCCACCAACACTGCTCACTCACTCGCTTACTCACTAATTATCATATACCTACATACCCACATCTACACATACACACAAACACACACTCTCTTGAACTTCACTCTCACTCTCTTGAACTTCACCTTTCATAATTTCTATTCGTTCTGCACCATCATCTCTTTCTTATAGCCTAGCAAATGAGCTCCAGTCCAGTTCCAAACGCATTCGATTGCATCTTCACTAACTAAACCTTCTTTTGCTTTGTCAATTTTCAATAATTCTTCAATTGACATCCATCATCTTCATCATCATCATCTCTCTTTCAAACAGTGATTGATGGGATTCGGTATTGCGTCTATTAACCTAATACACGATATCCAATAGTGTAGACTACGTTACTATATTTTGTTGATATATCTTGAAGTTGATATTTAATAGTTAATAGTTACATTTATCATATATATAGTTAATACACCATCAAGAAGTAGAAAGATCATCAACAAAATGTCTGCTCAAGCTAAGATTTTGTCTCAAGCTCCAACTGAATTGGAATTACAAGTTGCTCAAGCTTTCATTGAATTGGAAAACTCTTCCGCTGATTTGAAGGCTGAATTGAGACCATTGCAAATCAAATCTATCAGAGAAGTATGTTATATTAATTAATAATTTATCAAAACCGAAATCAAATACAAGAATAATGATAATTTCCAAATTATAGAAACTGATTTATTGAGGATAATAGATATATGAGAAACTATGGGTATCGATGGGTTAGGTGGAAGTATGGATGAACTTTATCAAGATTAAAATATGGTTGAAGTGTCGATCGATGGATTTATGTCACTCTTTTTGCCAAAAAAAAAATATCGTCTCAGAGATATTCGACATCTGAAATGGATATTTTGAAACATTGATAGAAAGACTTCATGCTAAGGTCATAATAGTGATAGTGGAAGCATTGGTATCATTTTTCTCAGTTTTTGTAAAAAATAATGGTTTTTCTTATAATAATTCAAGTTTACTAACAAGTTTTTATTTTATTTTTTATTAATAGATTGATGTCTCCGGTGGTAAGAAAGCTTTGGCTATCTTCGTTCCAGTCCCATCTTTGGCTGCCTACCACAAGGTTCAAACTAAATTGACCCGTGAATTGGAAAAGAAGTTCCCAGACCGTCACGTCATCTTCTTGGCTGAAAGAAGAATCTTGCCAAAGCCATCTAGAAGATCTAGACAAACTCAAAAGAGACCAAGATCCAGAACTTTGACTGCTGTCCACGACAAAATCTTGGAAGACATGGTCTACCCAACTGAAATTGTTGGTAAGAGAGTTAGATACTTAGTTGGTGGTAACAAGATCCAAAAGGTTTTGTTGGACTCTAAGGACATTCAACAAGTTGACTACAAATTGGAATCTTTCCAATCTGTTTACAACAAATTGACTGGTAAGCAAATCGTTTTCGAAATCCCAGGTGAAACTCATTAATTGATATAAATCTCATCTACTTTTTTCATCCTTATAAATCATTTAAATTTTTATAAGTTTGTATATCCAAAATGTTTTAATAATAGGTGTATAATTCTTAAAGCGTTTTCTTCAGTATTAATTAATTAAATTTAAGCATTTCAAATTAAATAAAATGTATATAATTAATTGTCACAATAAGGACATCGAATAAGCAAAAGATACAAGGCAAGCTTATAGTGTTGGGTTAGGGGAGAATTCCCAATCAAAGAGCTTAAAGCATGAAAGATCAAACTTGAGATAAACTAGAGGTTACCATAATAATAGTAATTACTATAAAATATTTATTTTAAATATACGAATGCTACTTGTTTTCGGCTAAATTTATAAAGTTTTCATAAGGGTTACCACTATCTACTATTTGTCCACTTCTATCTCTTCTAGATTTAACAATTGGTATATCATAATACTTTAGTTTTTCGAAATCTTCCTTTCTTGGTTCCTTATTAAAATCTTTACTTATCTTTTGAATTGTATTATCAAATGAAGTGTCTTGTTGGAGTTGATTATGCGTTGTTTCATTATAAGAATTAATAGCAAAAGTAACTAATTCATCCCTTGACTCTAATTTGCCTTTGGTTATTTTAGGATCATCTCTAATCACTCGATCGTCATTTTCAATTTCTTTAATATTTTTATTTCTTGATGTAGCAACTACAATTGAAGCTACAACAGTCCCAATGATAATTAAGTACTTTAATAATGTAACTAAACTAGATAAAACACTGCCAATTACGGCATGTAATAAAGGACCTAAAACTGTAGTGAATGTTATTCCTAATACTAAAGAAGGTAAATGTATTTCATATAATGGTTCAAATCGTACCCTTGATGAAATACCAGGTAAATATTTATCCAAATAGCATTTGATTTGATCCATTAGCATGATAGACCTAAAGTAAGAGTACTAATGTGAGGCTTTTTCCTTTCTTTCTAAAAAATAATTCTACAGAGGCTAAAATAGTTCGAAATTTTTAATCAGTAGATAACTGTATGTTCAAGTGCATGTGTATGAATGTGGGTGTGAGTGCGAGTGATCCCACCATCTAATAATAACAATAATAGTAGTATTCAATTATTAGAAACCGTAGACTATTTCAGCAATAGTACGAAAATATAATAATCTAATAATAATTAATAATTGAAATTTAGATTTAGATTTAACTTAGCCAACTAATCCAAGATCATTTTTAAAGTTCGGTAAGATGAAATATCTTTATGCAGAGTTCTTTCCCAAAAAATAAAAAAATAAGAAGGCATCTCTATACAGAGAGATACTAGCTAACACTACAATATTTTACGATCTTTAAAACCTTCGAACACATAAAGTAACACTATACTTATTAAAGTATATGGTAGTCCAACACAAGATATGATGAAATAATATGAATATTTTCGAGTTCTTATTCTTATATGTTGACCGAATCGAGTAAAGACCATTTAAACGAACGACTGGGCTTAAATTAAGACAGATAAAGGCTTCAACATAAAAAAAAATGGAAACTGGAAATTGGAAGTTAAAAGAATACTTGAGATTGCGTATTTATCCAATTGTTGAAGTTTTAACTATTCTAGATGAAACGACTTCAAAAAAAGTAACCAAGTAAGTGTAAGAATATTCTTATAATTACCAGATGTTGAAACAATTTTGTATCCCCTTAAAATTATTTCCAATTCATCATCTATCATCTACCTTGACAATGATCATTCATTAAGATCGAAATCATCATTTCTTTGATTGTCATTATCTATATCACCATCATGGATAGATAGATAGTGAATAAATAAACTTTACAGGAAAGCAGAGTGACCTCAAATGAAACTCACCTGCAACTTGCCTTAGTTGATTCATTCGTTCCTTTATTGATTGATTACTCATAGGATAAAACATAAATTTAAGGGATCTTCCCTGGATAACACACAACTAATAACGTAAGAACAAAATAGGTTAAATGATAGTTGTTGGTTGTTTTTACAGTTTAGATACAAATCAAATCAACCGTTTCGAGTTAATAATGACATAATGTCATTGTACTAGCATATGTAGATATCTATATATATATATTTGCTTTAAAGACACACAGTTCAGGACACCACCACATAAGAGATGTTTCTACTAATATCGAAAACCTTTCGAGATGGTTGCAATCAACAGTTTGTTTCTTTACTTCTTCTTCAAACTGGGAGATTACAGATGATATGGGTAACTCCAGTTGCTGTTGGAGTAGTAGCAGTACGTGTCGTAGTTTTGAGGCTTTGTAAATTAAATACGTTCTCTCTTGATGCAATAAGATCAATAGCAATAGCAATAGCAATGATGATAGATATAGTGATAGTGATAGTGATAGATATAGTGATAGTGATGATGTGATGATGTGATGATAACGTTATGTTATGATATGTTATGCTGTTGTGGTTGAAGGTGTAATTGTCGATTATGGTAAAATATATGGAATTTTAGGGGTACATACATATTATTTTTGTTCTTCTAGATTAGGATAATGTTGGATCAAGTTATAGTAACTGGCTGTTATAGAGAAAAGTAAAAAGGAAAATTGTATCATTATTTGTTGGGTTTAAGCTCAAGAGTTAGTTGGATTAAATAGGTATGTCTATTAACTATGTCTGTTCCCATCTTAGATACCGTTTATATTTCTCATTGGAATATTCTTCTTTTGATTGAGAATTTTCGTGATCAGTTTAAATCGCAGCAGGAGATATAGCTAAGATATGAATACGATTGATTTATTTGATTTGATGAAATTCTTAGCTTAAATGGTAATTACACCTTGAGAGTACGAACATTTCTTGTTGGACGTTTAATAACGTATTACTTGAGTTTATTGGCTAACAAAAAAATATACGAGATTACAATAAATAGGATTAAAGCAACAATTAAAGAAAAAAAAGGGTGGTTGTCTCTTGCAAAGGAATATTCATAATCTTGGATATAGTAAGATATAATCATATTTCGTTCCGGTTAGTCATTCTTGATTAAGTATACAGAAAGAATTTTAAATTTGTAAAAATGAAAAGTATAAATACCACTCATGAATATGAGATTATATTTATCTTGCTTGGATTTCGATTTATAAGTTTATATTAGTTATTTATTATATATTTTTTCTATCATTTTTTTCTTCATTAGTGTCATTACAAGGATGACAGTAATAATAGAGTTGTAGGGGAAACTTTTCGCTGAGGCCTATTTATTTCTGGAGGTACGTATACGTAATCTTCCAGAAATTGGCTATTATTCTACTCATTTCCAATTTATCTGCACTGGATCGTGGATCAATACCAAGACCTTCCAGCATATTTTGATTATGTAGTCTGGCTGAGGATTCATAATGGTTTTTTGCAATAAATATTGTGCTGGAGGGTGAACTTTGCATAATGATATATTTCCATTGGTTTCAGTAAAGATTCAGTGTCAGAAGTTTTAGTTATATCTTGAATGGAAAAAATAAATTAAAAATAGTACAATAAGAGTAAGAATAGTTGATGGAAAACATTTTTATTGCATCTAGTAGCTGTAAACTTTATCAGTTTTTCATCTAATAATAAAATTTCAGGGATTTTCTAATACCTTAATAATTGGTTTGGGTAGAGTCAGCGAAACAGAGATCCGATGACTACTATTATTGTTTGTTTCCTTTATTATTATTATTAATATCTACATATTGGGCTTTTAGAAAATTAAACATTCTATAATGAACTAGCATTGAATGCTAATTTTAAACACTGGCTGGTTATTAATAATGCTGTCATTATTTTAAAATATATTGAGATTAAATAGACTGGGATCGAAACAGATTTCGAATTGAATGGATATTGCTATGCAATGAATAAGACAATTCATTGTAATTCTTTTTTTGTATATTTCGAGATGTATATTTGGGAGGTATATATCAAGAAATATTTTATGAGAATAATTATCCTAAAAACTGTTGGATGCTAAGAAGCAATTTATTGCTGGGAGTAATCAAAAAAAACATTAATAAAATTTAGTAAAAATTATAAAATTACAAAACTTTACAAAAAAAAATATTTGAACTTAAGTTTGTTTGCACAGGGAAATATATTAATAAATTTTAATTAAATGTAAGATTGTTTAAGTATAATACGTTTATCGTAACAAGATGGTGAGCGGCAACCATGAAATTATAACAGAAAATAAAAAAAATGAATTAAACTACAAATATAGCATTGGTATATGGATTAAATGGCAATTTATTGTTTTCAATGTCATAAAATTAGAAAATCAAATAAAAAAGTATAAAATCACAAAATCCAAAAAAAAAATTAGTAGATAATAAGTAAGACAATTATTATCATTTGAGCAAGATTAATAGATACAATCATTACAATTCACTGCAGAATCTAAAGGTTAACTAATTACAATCATTTATCAATGAATTTCAAACAAGGTCCGTTATTATTACATTTAAAAAGAAAACTAAAAAAAAATGAGTAGCTACATTCCTTATCTAGCAATATCTATTTCTTGCTACTTGACAAAGTAGAAGGAAAGCTATCAAATTTATGCCAAGTTATTTTATATTGTTGAATTTTTATCTTTAAATTTTCATATCGTTAATATATTAAATATAGTTTATAGTTAATTGAAACATTGCAATAAATATAAACTTAACAAAAATATTTTGGTTATTATAAGTCATCTTTGTAAGAATTTCTGACACTACTTTTGCATTCCTATCTTATTTCTATTCGCTCCTTCTTCTGTATTTATGATGTCAAAGAGAGCTGTCAAAGAATGTAAGCCGCATATTATTTATCTCACACATGATCTGGCTGCATCTGGATATAAGTTACCCTGAGACAAACTTTGTCTTTAGTCTAAGCCATTACTAGAGAGAACACTACGAGGGCACACATGGAATACTTCAGAGGTACAAAAGAGACTCTTTGTTAAATCAAGCTAAAAATCCAGTTGTTAACACTGGACAAGCATACTAACCAATTCCATATTAATTATTACATTGGGATTCCTTACATATTTAAATTCAATACTAACAAAAAACCATTTTCTTTACCTCGAAAGAAAAGAAAGAGCTACGTATACATTAATTTTATGCCAATAATAGCTACAAGTAAAATCATCAACTGAATCTGTATCTCTTAGCATGGTAGTAAACAAAACAATTCGTCGCACATAATACAAGTAATTAGTTATTTTAACTTTGTCCAAGACATATTTCTTTCCTTCAGAGTAATCGTCTCAAGAGTAAATTTCTGACCTAAACTGCAATTTTTCACCGTACTATTTTTGCTTAGCATAATGTATTCAACCCTTTCGAGCCTACACTGCTCGCTATGGCTCTATTTAATTTAAGCAACTATATCACTTCTGAAAAGAATACCACTCGTACAAAATAGAAAAACTCTTACATTTCTTCCCAGTCAGAATAAATTTTATCCCCAGTAAACTCTCTTGCTTCCAACTAAACTTAACGAAAAATGTTAGGTGTAACAAGGCAAGACCCGTTTCTTTACTGATTCTCCAAGGCCCTGTGTAAAAATATCCACACCACACAAGTTCATCTTTTGAATATTAGAATTTTTAATCACTTGGAAGCTTAGGCTTTCAAGAGAAAGAAAAGAGATCTTGGACTGTCTTGGACTGTAGCAGAAGATTGACAGCACCAGTATCTCATTGTTGAATTACTTGCAGTTTGTCTCTCTGTCTATCTGCCAAATTAAATTTTTTCATCATCATTATTTCTTTTCTAGTAAACTTTCAATCATTCACTCATTGATGCTTGACAAAATTGAAGATTGGCATAGTATACCTTATTATCTTACACGGTAGATAACCTCTCTAGCTGCTCTTTTCCTACTTCTTGCATGAATGTTATTACCACACTCTCCACTAACTTTTCAATTCGTCATCAGAAAAGTGTATATATATATCGTGATACGTTGTACTAAATACGGTGTACTTTACGTTGAATCCTCTTGCTGTTTACACACTGTGTGCTTTGTTAGTGCCTCTTCTATTTCTCCCAACCCTCTCTCTTCTTCACTATTTTTTTCTTCTTTCATTTATCTCAACTCGAGTTCGAATTCGAAATGGAAATGGATTTTTAACCTTGCTTAAAAGAAACTACAGGTATTCTCTTTATTGTAGGTAAAAGTTTAATTATCGTCACTAAAAATCTGTACATACGACTAAATTTACTTGTTCTGTTCGAAATGTTCACTGCTCTCTAGATATTCAAATTGTACTACCTAGCATATTATTTCGTTCTATCTAGTACTGCTAAGTAACTACTAAAATAGTGAAAAAAAAAAAATTTATACATTACATAACGTTTTAATTTTTGATATTAATTGAAACATTCTAGTTATTGCAACATAGCATGTCTTGCTTAAGTGTGATTATCGTTGACATTATATTTATTCGATATGTTATAGTGTTACTGTTATATAGTATTGTTAGTCTTATTCTTGCTATTAATTTATAAGAAACATTTTGATTATTAGAGAGAAAGATCTTGTTCATGCTCTTTTTTTAATATTCTTTAATTTTCAAAAGAAGCTCTTTGGCATACCCTTGAGTAATATAAGATATAGTATATTCAGATATACAAGATATATCTGTTTTATTGAAAACATATTAGATTACTTTAATCTACTATACACTACCATTCCTGCCCTACCTTAAAGAAACTAACAGTTTTCTAGTCAACTTATTGTTTCCAATCACTTTAGTTGGACTCTTCATATCAGTTAGTGTTCATAATGGCTAAAAAAATCACCATTACGATCCCTACAAGCACCCAAGCTTTGTATAGATTGATTAGTTTGGTTTTATTATTCTCTGCAACTATTGCTTTGATATTCAATGGTAATAAATTGTTCAAGAAAGAATCTGCATTAAGCAGAAAGAAGAACATGATATTTGACAATGATCAAAACGAAATTGTAGATGTTAAATATGATCCAAACTTCAAATATGTTAAATATAATAATCCAGAGTATTCTGGTAAAAAGGTCAGAGCAACTTTTGTTACTTTAGCTCGTAACAAGGATTTAGAAGGTTTGTTACCAACTATTAAATCATTAGAAGATAGATTTAACTCTAAATTCCATTACGATTGGGTCTTCTTAAATGACGATGAATTCACTGATACTTTTAAAAGAACTGTATCAGCAATGATCAGTGGTGAAGCTAAATTTGGTGTTATTCCAAAAGAACATTGGTCGTTCCCATCTTGGATTGATCAAGATCGTGCCAAGAAAGTTAGAGAAGAGATGAAAGAGAAGAAGATTATCTATGGTGATTCTATTTCTTATAGACATATGTGTCGTTTCGAAAGTGGGTTCTTCTGGAGGCACCCATTATTAGATGAATACGAATTTTATTGGAGAGTTGAACCTGATGTTTCTTTACATTGTGATATTGATTATGATATTTTCAGATTTATGAAGGATAACAATAAGAAATACGGTTTTACAATTTCTATTAAGGAATATGTAGCTACAATTCCAACACTATGGAAGACCACTACTGAATTTATGCAATTACATCCTGAATTCTTGGCCAAGGATAACATGTTAGATTTTGTAAGTGATGATGAAGGTAAAACATATAATTTATGTCATTTCTGGTCGAATTTCGAAATTGCTTCATTAGATTTCTGGAGAGGTGATGCATACACTCAATATTTTGAATTTTTAGATAATGCAGGCGGTTTCTTCTATGAAAGATGGGGTGACGCACCAGTTCATTCTATTGCTGCTTCATTATTTTTGAACCGTGATGAAGTTCATCATTTTGGTGATTTAGGTTATTTCCACAATCCATTCCACCAATGTCCAATTGATGAAGTATTCAGATTAGGTAATAGATGTGCCTGTAATCCAAAGGATGATTTTACATGGAAGGGTTATTCCTGTGGTACTAAATATTACGATGTTAACAAGTTGAAGAAGCCAGAAAACTGGGAAAAATTCAAATGATTTAAGTTGATATTCACTAATTAATTAATCATATTATTCATATTGGAAAGAAAGTAAGTAATTACAAGAAACAAGCCAAGAAAATAAAATAAAATAAAATAAATACAATTATTATTAGGAGAGTTAGCATATTTTATTAGTTTCAAGATAAGATAACAAGAATTGACATTGATTTATACTACTCGATGTACATATATTTTTCAATGAAATATTAAATAAATAAATTTAATTTAACTGTATGTATAATGTTCAAAAAAAATAATCATCGATTGATAGAATTAAATGATATATATATTCTGTCAGAGACATTTAAGTCTCTTTTCAGGTATGATCACGTTGAAATAAAATTTTACAATCGAGAAAGCTAATACGTGTCCAATGTAATATTCATTCAAGATTCTCAATTGAGGCTTTAAGATCAACCAATACAGTTTACCAATATTCCAAGAAGCATTTAATTCTGAAGAGAACGTCAAAAATAGAAAAAGAAAATAACATCGACACGTAGTAAAATGTGAATAGTTGCAAGTACTTTTCTGCAGAGATAGATAGTATACAGTATTATAAAAAAAATCCCATGATGGATAAGACACATGATGATAACTGAAGAATTGAAAAATATCAAGTGTTCTAGTTAGTAGTGAATTATTTGTCGTTGGTAACATTCCATCTCAACGAAGAATACTAGACTTGGCAAGAAAAGACCCTGTAAAAATAGAAATAATCCATCGAGATCTGCTTGAAGTTTCAGCTAAACAGTAGGCAAAACTACAGTTATAGTAGAAAGGATACATAGATATAAAGTGAAAAAAAAATTTTCATGTCAAGCATTTCAACCAGAGCATACAAACTAGCAGAAGTAGTAGCAACAACCTTGCTAGTAAGTAAGAGTCCCTACTTCAAGACAGTTTAAGAGATGCCTATAGTAAAAGTTCATTCTTATAGTAAACACAACATACTTTAAACTACATTTTAAGTAAGATTATTAAGAAGAATCAGAAAGAGAGCGTGTTCATGTACGTTGAAGTGAAAACTTTTCATCTTATCCAATAGAGTAGTACGGTACAATACAATATAATACAATATATATAAAATGATCCTCTTGAATTATCTAGATTGGTAATAATGATATACAACAATTCCTCTTTCTCATCAGGAAGAAACAGTCCAGTTCTCTTTAGTGCTGTGCTGTCCCATATCTTATTAAGTAGTGTGTTAAATATAGAAAGAAATGAATAATCGATACAGCTTATCATAGAGAGAGAGAGAGAGAGGGTTTAGTTTGTTTCGAACGACTGCGATAGCTTCTCTAACTGATCTAGTTGATGATATTTCGAACAAGTTTTAGTTAAAGTATTTGACTTAGAAGAGTACAAGAGAGTACTACCAACAGCCAGGACAAACAGCAACAACTCTTGAGAAGGTTCGTAGAATAAGTAGTTTTGCAAAACTCTACCTCAGTATCTCTTTCTCTATCGATGATCTCTGAGATTTAGACAAATGCTTTAACTATTGTTATAAAATATCAGTTAAGAAGTTGAGCTTGAGGGGATACTAAGTAGTAATCCAGAAGTAAGAGACTGGAGAGACCTCTCTTATGGGGTTGATCGTTGGTGGTTGGTCGAAGTTGTTTGTAGTCTGAAGTCTTCAGCTTTGGTTCACACAAAAAAGGAACGAAATGGCCGACTCTACTCTTTCTTTCTACAATTTCTCTTGAATTGTCAACTGTCTTTCCTATGCTTGCATCCAACTAAGACGTAGGGCCAGGGAGATACACACATATATATACCACCTTCCCTCTATCTCTCTTTCTCTTTTGCCAACTCTTTTCTTGGTTATTTCGTCTTCTTGATGATGATGATGTATTACTTATTTGTTATAAGCAGAATAGTAAACCGGTCTGCTGCTGTTGCTCCTGTTGCTGCTTAGGTTTGATACCGTTTTCCTAACTCATTTCGAAATTATGTAAATGTACCAGTGAACTAACTGAGTTTCTTAGAGGAAATTGTATAGCTCAATGTTTAAGTGTATGTATGTGTTGGTGATGTTGACGATGATGATTTTTAGATACTATTGTCATTATCATGGTATACCATGAACATAGCATAGAATAGCATACTGCAATATAGTATGGTAAATATATAGTATAGAGTAATCATAATTATATAAAAAATTTTGAAATTAATTGACAGGTTTTAATAACAGCCTTTTTGTCGATTTTTTCATCAAAACTTCTTGTTCTTCTTCAATATCAGATTTAATTCTTGATATGATCTTAGTTTTGAGCATTCGAATTTAAAATTTTGTATTTCATTTCATATATTGCTTTACTTATTTGTTGAATTAGTTAAAGTTGAACTGTGCTAATACTTGAGTTCCACTATTTACCACATCATTGAAGTTGGAAGATTTGTAAAGAAACTTGACAAGCTCATTCATTAGAGATATTGTTTCGTTTGGTTCAAGGCATTTCAATAGTTTCAGTCAGATATCATACGTATATTTATATATATATCTTACTCGATAAAAGATGCCTAGATTCACTATTCCAACTAGCAGTAAAAAACTATACAGACTGGTAGGTTTAATAGTGATTTTAGTAGCAACAATATTCATAGTTAAAAATGGTTCCAATTTAACTACAATAACTTCATTGACTAGTAATAATGGTAACAGCAATAATAATAATAAGGACACAACAAAGAAAAGTTCAGTACCTGCAAGAAAGAAAAGGACCTATAGTTCCAAGTACGATGATGATAAATATAATTATGTAAAATATTCTATACCTGAATATGATGGTAAAAAGGTTAAAGCAACATTTGTTACATTGGCTCGTAATAGTGATTTATACAAATTAGTTGCAACTGTTAAATCTGTTGAAGATAGATTTAATTCTAAATTCCAATACGATTGGATCTTCTTAAATGATGAAGAATTCTCAGAAGACTTTAAGAAAACCATGACAGCTTTCATCAGTGGTGAAACTAAATTTGGTGTTATTCCAAAAGAACATTGGTCGTTCCCATCTTGGATTGATCAAGATCGTGCCAAGAAAGTTAGAGAAGAGATGAAAGAGAAGAAGATTATCTATGGTGATTCTGTTTCTTATAGACATATGTGTCGTTTCGAAAGTGGGTTCTTCTGGAGGCACCCATTATTAGATGATTATGAATATTACTGGAGAGTCGAACCTGATACCAAGATGTATTGTGATATTGATTATGATGTCTTTAGATTCATGAAAGACAATAAGAAGAGATATGGTTTCACAATTTCTATTAAGGAATTCGTTTCAACAATTCCAACTTTATGGGAAACTACTACTGACTTTTTATCATTACATCCTGAATATATTGCGGAAAACAATATGTTAGATTTTGTTAGTAACGATGGAGGTTTATCTTACAATTTATGTCATTTCTGGTCCAATTTTGAAATTGCAGACTTATCTGTATGGAGAAGTAAAGCTTATGTTGATTATTTCGATTATTTGGATAAAGCAGGTGGATTCTTTTATGAAAGATGGGGTGATGCGCCAGTTCACTCTATTGCTGCTTCATTGTTTTTGAATCGTGAGGAAATTCATCATTTTGGTGACTTAGGTTACTACCATCCACCATATCATCAATGTCCAGTAGATGATAACCTAAGATTGACAAACAAATGTGGTTGTGTGCCAAAGAAAGATTTTACCTGGAGAGGTTATTCCTGTACTAGAAAATTCTACGATGTTAATAAATTGAAAAAACCAGCAAATTGGGAAGATTTCAAATAGGTAATATTATTATTAACCATTTGTTTTATAAGAGAATTTTTAATTTATTTTTACAAATTGCTGGGGAGTTACTATAACATTAGTCATGATAAAATTAAGTATATTGATTTATATTTAAACTCAATGGATCTTCAAACCTCTACAATTTTCATTTATTTCTCTATCTTGCAATAATTTTTTTTTTGAGATCTCTCTTCATGAAAACAGATCTTATTTGTAGATAGACATCTTTAGTTTAATATTAAGGCATTGAGTATTCGTTTTACGTATAAGTATTTAAAATGTTAATAATACACAAGAATTTTAATGTTTATGAATTGAATTCTTTATTTCAAATTTTTTTGTTTTATATGCATTTGGGGGTTAAGCCTCTAAGTGCTAGCCGGAGATAAATATGGAATATATAATAATCATTTACAAAACATTAATTAATTAACAAATCAATCAATCAGATATTGTACTTCTTAAAGATAGAATGTGTCAATTCTACACCCAAGAAAGTAGCTGCATTAGCAGGGAATGATCTCAGTAGAGCAGGACCTAGACCTGGGAAGAATCCCTTTATGCCACCTCTTGTGCGGTAAATTTCTTTTGTGATATCGACCATGTTTACCTTTGTCGTAGAGGCTTGTAATTTCGTCTTGATGGTATCTATTGGGAAAACCACTAGCCACATTGACATACCAGCAATACCACCTGATAAACAAACGTTTAAGATATTAACATCACCTTTCTTGACAGGAGGGTTCAAACCGTTTAATATGCCTTTTGCGTATTCATAAGAAGCAAAATATAATGCACTACCAGGACCATCTCTGGCTAGAGTTGCCAAGGAACCCTTGAAAAGAGAAGGTAAACCACCAGTACGAACGATATTATTGGCAGCAGATACAAAGGAACCTGAAGTTGAAGTTTGCAAAACGACCTTAATACGTTCGGTTGGAGCAGTGACCAAAGTAGTTGGTATAGCACTTAAAAACCCAGCTGTAGCCAATTGAGTTGTTGTTAAAGGTGTGGTACTATCGACATTATTAATGCTAACGATTTTTTTACCAATATCATAACCCCAGAAAGAAACAGCAAAGATTGGAGTCACACCAACAAGTGGTGGAATAACACCTTTATAAAACCCTTTAAAATAATTACCAACGGGATTACCTAGCTTGCTTGCGTTTCTTTGATTAACCTCAGCCAAGATCTTTTTGATAGCATCACTAGTGGAAGAAGCTTGATTATTTTGACATCTAACTTTTATCAAATCGAAAGGATGGCCAGTTAGAACAGCACAAACACCACCGACACCACCTGCAGCGAAGGATTTTAAATTTTGAACTAATGGAGACCCCTTATTAGCACCATGAGAGTCGGTAGCCATCTCTTCATCCAATAGTAGTTCTTCACCTAACTGAGAATCAGACATTGTATATGTATAATATAAAAATTAAATAAAATATAAGATGGAAAACTTGCAAAAATCTTATTGAAATTCTTGACACTCTAGGACCAATAAAATACTGAAAAATATAAGATATAAGATATAGAATATAAGATATAAAATAGTAAAATTGTAAAAGAAAAATGGTACAAGAC